GATGGTACCAATTGTGCTTTTGTTTGTGGCGGGCAGCAATGGACATCTCTTGTAAGACTAACAGGGAAAGGGAGGTTCAGCTTGCTTAATCAAATCAATGGTCACTGACCCAGAAAGGAAACCCAATTGCAAAATTCACATACAAGACACGTGAGGATTGCAGTTCTATTGTATAGGTCATGAATGCAATGAGTACGCTATTGATATTTGATGCCCAGCTTCTATTCTTGGATATGGTCCCAGCCCTCGAAATCGTCTAATCGTTGTCCCAAGACAAGGTAGCCACTACTGACTTTTAGTGCCCATCGTCAGCTACATAATACAACTCAACTGACGGTATGTGCCATGGGCTACGCCCTAGCCCGTCGTCTCGCCCACCATTCCCCCATGTATGTAGGGTCGAAGAGCTATCTATCATCTTTTCTTTCTTTTTCTTTGTCTCATAAGTCATAATCAATTGTTGAAAATTTAACATTTCAAATTAAATATTTCAAAATCAAATTTTGGGTTGGATTGATGAGCATTTAAGAAAAAATAGGAATTATTTCTGTTTTATATAACTCATTCAAATAAAAAAAAAAAATCACAACTAATGTTTATTAAGAAAGTTAATAACAAGTTTGATTTAAGGAAAAAGGAAGGAAGAGATTTTTAATTAATTTAATATTAAAAATATGTTTTTTAATATTATAAATTTATTTTTTAAAATAATTTTTATTTTATTATCTAAATTAAAAAATAATAAAAATTTTTAAATATTATAATAAAATTGATAAAAAAAATCTAATCCCATCTCCACCTCTCCCCTTTATTTTTCTTAAATAAAACATACTATAAAAATTTGAATTTTCTTTTCAAACGAGTGATAATGAGTTCGAAAAAGTTAGAATTTTCTCCATGTTGATTTTAGATTTTAAGTTAATGATGAGAATTGAGAAGGGGCAATGTATGGTAGTGATTGGTCAACAAACATGAATGTTCATGATCTGTTGTCCCTTCCATCCTCTAGATGTAGACATGGCAAGATTGGATAATTGATCAGACGACATCGTATTGCACAAGCCAAATCCATCTAGCTGTCTGGTTTTGAAACCTCTCCATCAAAGCCGACTACCCATGAAAACATGATTTTCTATCATATGATTCACATCATAACTATATATATAATATTATAATTATAATATCACGTAAAATTATAAGTTTATAATCATAATATATTATTAAATAAATCAATACATATAATATTATAAATAAAATTTTAAATAAAAATAATTAATTATTCGATAATACATTATAATTATAAAATGGTGTTATAGGGATAATATTTTTATATTATATTTTTATACAAATTTTACATGTTATTAAATGAGTTAATACATTCAATATCACAAGTTTCAAATGAATTAAAAGAACTAATTATTTAAATGACACGTCAAGTTATACAAAAAAACATTTCTCGTAATTATAAACTTACAATAATACATAACATTGTAAATATATAACTTTCAACATCCTAATTTGGCAAGTTAGTCTTATCTTATCTCAATCCCAATCAAACTTTCACATATGGAAAAGACATGGGTATTCGTTGAATAAATGGTGTCTCTTCTTCTTCCATTAAAGGAATTGGGGAACAAAAGGCCGTGAAAGAGTTGAGGAGACGCAAAGATGGATAAGAACAAACCGATTTTGGCTGTCCTTGATGTGGAGGCTTAATCTTCATATAAGATAGAGTACTGAATTTATGAACAAAATTTATTGGTATAACATTGTCCAAATTCATGAACTTACAAATTATATGAAATTATAATTATAATATTTTTTGTCTAAATAAAATAACTTATTTCATATCATTAATTATTAGTCTCACATTTTATTACCATATAATCTTGCATCTTTTATTATTAGCCAAGTAATAATTATAAAAACGATCATAAAAATATAATAATTATGAAGCAATAAATAAGACTATTTTCAAATCTTTCTTCATATTCGAAGGTTAGAAATAAAAATCCTTAACTATTCATTAACCATATTCCACATAATTGTTATCAGTCTCATACATGATCCAAAAAAAAAAAAAGTAAATCATAAAATATCAACTTCTATTAGTAGAAAAGATGTTTCATTTTTTATTATTTATTTTTTTTAAATATTTTTTATCCAAAATCGAGGAGAAAGTGGCACAAACACATGCCACGTGGGCGAATGCAATGGTAAAAGTTTTAATAGTGGTATCCTTGGATAACTTTTTTGTATTTTTTTTTATAATTTTTATATGTTATTACATAAATAGATATATTTAATATTATAAATTTTACATAAATTAAAAAAATTAATTATTTTAATATACATTAATTTGTAAAAATAATTATACCAATACTATTTCTCAAGTTTTAACACTTTAACCCGTTTTGTCGTCGTTACTGACGTAATGACGTTACACTTAAGCAAAGGCTAAACCGACTTCTGCTGACTTAATTATTGCTCCTAATCTCCCCCTTCTCCCCCTCGAATTTACAAGAATACCTTCTCTCCCCCAATTAATTTTGCTGAGCAGTTCTACACTGACTTTAATTAAATAATTTTAAATAATAGATTACGCTCCCGGCTGAATTATCATGTCTTCTGCTATTTGTCTCCTGTG